ATATTGACAATGATATAGAAACACTTTGTAAAAACTGTTACACATGTCAACAAGTTAAAAGTATGCCTGTTTCTGCGCCAATACACCCATGGTCTTTTCCTACAGGAATATGGCAACGTGTATATTTAGACTTTGCTGGACCCTTTATGAATCACATGTTTCTCATTGCTGTTGATAGTTATTCAAAATGGCCAGAAATAACTATAATGAAACACACTACTGCTTCAGAACTTATTAAAGTTGTAAGACAATATTTTTCAAGACATGGAATACCTTTACAGATTGTCTCAGATAATGGTTCACAATTTATCTCTGAAGAGTTTGAGTTATTTTTGAAGTCAAATGGTGTGAAACATATACGCACAGCTCCATACAAGCCATCTACTAATGGACTCGCTGAAAGAATGGTTCAGACTTTTAAACAAGCTGTGAAATCTGCGAAAAACGATGATTCAACATTACAAGAAACTTTGGACAAGTTTTTACTCAAGTATAGAATAACACCTCATACAGTAACTCGTGAAACACCTGCTAAGCTACATTTAAATCGCGAATTACGAACCAGATTAAGTTTATTGCGACCTGATATGAGTAGTAGAATTCAATCCGATCTATTGTCTAAATATTCAGATGAAACTAAACATGTGCGAAAATACACGGTTGATGATCCAATTTGGATAAGAAATTTTGCACAAGGTGATAAATGGTTACAGGGAAGAGTTATTTCATGTGACGGAACTAGATATTACACTGTGAAATCTGAAAATGATAATCTCATGAGGAGACATGTTGATCAGTTGTGTTCTAGAGTCGAAAATGATAGTGAAAGCAATGATATATGTAGTGAGGAACATGATGAGCATGTATCAAGTGAAAACAAAAGTGTTGAACAGTGTGAAGTTCAAAATAAAGGATGCGTTTATTTGAATGTTCCTTCTCGTAATAAATATTCAAGGAATATTCAAAAACCTGTTCGTTATCGATAAAACTTTACCTTTGTTTTAATTATATTGCTGTTAATTCATATTTCATTGATGAAAGAAATACTCAATAGATAATAGGGCCTATAAGTTTTTATTTTCAACTTGTTCATTATTGTTTTCTGTTTTCAAACAATTTCATTTTATATAGTATGACATTGAAATTTAAGGCTCGAGGAGTTGTTATATTTTATTAATCTCCATTAAAATGATTAACAAAACAAGAACTCATTTTACATTCAAGTAACCCCAAATACATAACACCAACACAATTTTGTCAATTAAGTTGATTCTTCATTAAGAAATTATACAGGGAGTCGGCATCAGGTACATCTTGTCCGTTGGCAACAATTCTATCAGCCTCTCTTTTTACAGCAGCACCAATGCCATCTGCAGCTCCTTTTCCATGACCACTGTCTAAAAAGTTCCATGTTGCTGACTTGAAATCAAGCTGTTGTGGTATTTTACTTAGCAAGTAAAAAGTTGACTTATTTCTGTACTGAGATGATGGGATGTCGCTGAGGAAATGTAAATGTACTATATCTGGATACTGTTGTCCTAGATTTTTTTCATTGTAAACAGAGAAATACTTTAATCCCAATTCGTATTCTTGATTGCGATCGAGTTCGTACTCATAATTTAGAGACAATTTAATGTCTCATTTATTTGAGGTGATAACGAATAGTTGTTCTTTATTTGACATTTTTAATCACGCTTTTATAATCATTTTGATCTATAATACCTTTCTCTAGGAGTCTTTTTAATATATAATTCACTTCATTAAATTGTCTGTTTGATCGATGTCCTTCCTTCATTGCCGCTAATATTATTTGTAATCTATTAAGTAGTTAATCGTTGTTGTATAAAAACTTTATATCTTGTCCAGATGCCATATCTTCGAATTCATCTATTTCTCGTATGATTGGATTGTTGTCTTCAGCATAATCACCCACTTTGTCAACTTCATATTCATCATCATGTTCAATTACTCTTATATATAGTTTTAACTTCTTTCGATCTTCTTGTTTCGGGTCCCGTCTTTCTTATTGCATCTAGAAATTTTGAGTATGCTACTAAATCCTTGCGATCGGCAATACCAACATCCTCGCAATTCATTAAATCTATTAATCCTTTTGTTAATGTGTATATAAAATCTTTTGTATCGATTTTGAATAAAGGGGAATTTGGACTAAATATTATTCTTAAACCATTAAACAATAAACCTTGATTGGTGAAATGCTCTTTGGTAAATCTGGGCTAGGGTTTGAAAAAACAGACGATTTATATCATCTAAGGTCCTAATTATACTAAAACCATTATATTCAATCGGTTTGGGGTGATGAGGTGTGGGTTCTAAAGCTAATTTCTTTTTAATATCCTCTTGAGATTTTAATATTGGTTGAAATAGAGTTTGTTAATCCAAGTTGTTGTAATTTGTTATTTTCAACTTGGGTCTTTATTTTATTCTTAGCTTTGATATATTCTCTATTTCTTTTTAAAATATTATTCCAATTATCCATTTAAAAAAAAAAAAAAAATTAACATATGTCGATCATAACTCTTTCACCCGCAGGTTTTCTAGTATTTACAAATACATATCCATGATCATCTGGATTTCTCCATTGAGCTTTACAAACCTTTTTAAATGTATCTCTATCCATTCCGTGATTTATCGACTGAATGATTTGAGATAAATCTTTAACTCTTAATTCAAATAATAAAAACAACAATTTGCATTTTTTCTAATGAACATAGAATCCATTCCGTAAAAAGATTGGGATTGGTATATGCAGTGACAGTTGTGATGTCTTCCTTTTGTGAAGAATTCCTGTTGAACAGCTAGATTTCTTTGCGCTACGCAGTGGTCAAACAATATTAAGTTCTTCCGATTGCTATCAATATTAGACAAGTCTAGATCATTAACATTTTTCGTAAGAAAAACTTTTATATCCGTTGGATTCTTTGATTTAATGAAGTTATTAATGATATCTTTTATTTCCACTTCTTCTTCGTTTTCTTCATAATATTGAAATATGTCTTTCTTTGGTAAATATTCAAAAGCTTTGAGGAATTGATAATCCGATTGCTCTGGTGTTGTTGTGTAGATATATAATGAATCGAAATCTAAAAGGTTTGGTGTTGTCAACATGTTAAAAGTCAGATGAGTTGTCCCAGAACCGGAACTACCGCATATACACACGAGCATTGGGTTATTAGGAAATATTTCTGAATGATTTTGCCCCTTTTTTTATACGCCCACACGTAAGATGGGCGTATATTGTAATCACCCCGTCGGTCCGTCCGTCCGTCCGTTCACATTTGGCTCGTGCTCACTCTACAGGCTACAGTTCTTTATGAATTCTTTTGATTTTTATTTTGTATGTCAATGTTGTTATGAAAATGATCCCTATTGATTTTTGTGATGATCGGATAATTTTTCACCGAAATATTGTGTCTGACTTGACGTTTTTCTCTATTAGCTATATTGTGCAACTCGTGCTCACTCTACAGTTTACAATTTTTTACAGATTCTTTTGATTTTTATTTTGTATGTCAATGGTGTTATGAAGATGATCCCTATTGATTTTCGTGATGATCGGATAATTTTTCACCGAAATATCGTGTCTGACCTGACGTTTTATTCTATTAGCTATATTGTGCAACTCGTGCTCACTCTACAGGCTACAATTGTTTACAGATTCTTTTGATTTTTATTTTGTATGTCAATGTCATTATGAAGATGATCCCTATCGATTTTCGCGATGATCGGATAATTTTTCACCGAAATATCGTGTCTGACTTGACGTTTCACTCTATTAGCTATATTGTGCAACCCTGTAGTCACTAAAGACTGTTTAACCATTTCTGACAGCTGCCAGTGGGCGTATGTTACCTTGCCTGGCAAGCTATCTTTTATTATTTTATTTTATTCCAAAAATCACTCCTTCTCCTTTATACTTTGAAAGAAATAATCCTTCTCCAGTGTGTATGTTTTTTTTAAAAATATTCCATTACCCTTATGTTTGACTTTGACTTCTCCTGTGTCAATACTATCTACTAATTTATTTAATCCTTGTTTAACAGTTTTCTTGGTTTCTTCCCCAAATCTTTTGCCAAATTCTTTTATTGTGCCTATCATATCTCCCACTCCTGAACCTTTGGCTTCCTTTTCCATTATTAAATTATGTCGGCGTTCTTCAGCGGCTTTAGCATCAGCTTCTTTCTTTGCGTTGGCAGCTTTGACTGCGGCAGATATTCCACCAGTTGCTGCACCCGCCGCTGCAATACCACCAAATATTAAAGGTAGTAGGAAAGGTAAAAATCCTTCTTTTGCATTCGTGTCAATTCTATATCATCTCCGACTTTACAATATTTGTATTTATCAATAAGTTTTTTAGTTATGCTGATTTTTTTACCATTGAAAGTTATTACAGTTGGTGAAGCTGTTTCAATAGCTTCTATTATTTTCATAACTAAAGTTCCTACTTTCATTTTTAAGGGTATATTTTTTACTCAATTCTTATCATTCTTCTATCTGCTATTTTAATTAAATATTTTGCTTCTTCCAATAATAAACAGTAACAGGTCACATCTCCTTGTGTTTTTTCAATATGAATATTTATGTCCACTCCTGTTTTGAAAAGATCTTCTTGATGAGTTGATAAATCAAAACAGAAGATTGGATGATTAAGTGCAAAATCTACATATTCAAACTGAGGTGGATTTCCAAATAATTCACACGTTTTTATAGTTTCTATACAATTCATTATAATCCTTTGTGGTTGGATTAATTGTTAAAGGTTGGTTAGGATAATTATCGTTGTTTAATCTTACTTGAATTTTATGGATTATAGGATCTTGAGTTTGGTTCATTGCTGCTCTAAAGATATTATTGTTATTCGTCTGAGAGTCTGGTAAGTTCTTGAAACCAACCATTAAATATCTTGCTGGTTTAATAGTTTTCGGGGAAGGGAGGGTTTGATTCTCCCAAATGTACAGGCCTAGGGTGGAGCAGACACTTTATTTAGAAATTAGGATTAAGGGTCTTGATATTGGGTTTTCTTCTGTTCTTGTTCTGATCTGAAATTAGAAAAAATAACTCGGCCCATGGGCGAGAAGTATAGTATCTGTTATGTGCTGATTGTTTTTAGTTTACTATGAACAATATTATCATTTAAGTTCTTATTTTTTGAATATGCAACTATCATTTTCTGCTTATAGACATGGGGGAATTTCTCTTGAAGGCTCTTATAGTGGGCATGAACTATCTTGCTTGCTCGATTGCTGGTTGTATTAAACGGGACAACAAAGGGTGCTATGCCTACATTATGATGAATATTTAGTCCTATAGGTCTTGCTGTATTCAATGTCTCAATCCAATGGGCTTCCCTAGATTGACGGAATTTGGTAGTTTCATCTTCGGGCAAGTCAATTTCTATACGCTCAATTGGGATTAGGGCGAGATCGTCTATTGAATGGTCGTCGAGGTTGAAATGATTAGAAACAGGCTTGTCTTTCTTTAATTTGATGTCTGGCCTATGAGCATTAAAGCGAGTTCGTAAATTATTCCTAGTTTCTCCTACATATTGTTTGGGGCATTTCTTGCATGAAATTAAATATATTACATTCGAATGTTCACATGTTAGATGTTCCTGGATCGGGTACCTTTTATTCGTAGAGTTGCTTACAAAATAATGAGTTTCTGATATAAAGGGACATGTTTTGCATCTACTGGACAAACATGGAGCACTTCTTAAACCTGGAGGTACTTCGGCATAAAGTCTGTTTTTAGCTGCTATCTGTGCTAAGGTGGAATTTTTTATGTTTCGTAAAAATCGTTTAGAGTACCCACGCTCTTTCAGTTTTGAGAAAACAATCGTACAGGCTTGGTTGAAATCAGAAGATCTTGTACAAATTCGATGAAATCGTAAAACTTGTGACTTAATTATACCAGAAAAGGTATGTTTTGGGTGAAAGGAGCTCTTGTGCAAGAGTTGATGAGTATCAGTTTCTTTGAAATACACTTTAATATCCAGTTTATTTGTTTCTGCTATGGAATCTCCCTTAAAGACTGTGGTATCGAGAAAGTCTATGCTTTTGTCACTCACGTTTGCGGTTAGTTTGATAGAAGGATGGTGGTTGTTGAGAATTTCAAAGAATTCCCAAAACTGTTCGATAGAATAAGTCCAAACCATAAAAATGTCATCCAAAAAGCGTCCGTAAAAAAGTGGGTCAAAGGGACAACGCCTCACGTTCCCACTCTGCCATGAAAAGGTTTGCGTACGAAGGGGCGAATCGTTTGCCCAGTGCTGTCCCTGAAGTTTGTAAATATGTTTTACCATTAAATGTGAAATCGTTTCGACTAAGACAAATCTCTAAAAGCTGTAGAATTGCACCGTCGGGTCTGTTTGGATCTGGGTTTCTATTAAGAGCTTTACGAACTGCCGTTAAACCAGTAGTGTTATCGATATTGGTATACATAGAAGAAACGTCGATAGAAATTAAAATAGCATTAGAGGGAACTCAAAGATTTTTTATTTTATTGACAAAATCGGTTGTGTCTTTAAGGTAGGCGCGATGTTGACATGCTAGAGATAGTAAGAAATGATCAATGTATTCTGACACTGCATATGACTCACTACCACAGTCAGATATAATCGGGCGGCCTTTAGGGATTTTATTCGAGATAAACCACTCCTTGGTTGGATTCTTATGGATTTTAGGCAAAGTGTACAAATGTCTCTCGCGACAATCAGGTTTGGCAGACAGATAGTCATATTGTTTCTGTTTGAGATAACTAGTTTTGACTAAATCGGCAAGAATATTGTTAATCATGTTAGCAGTTTCTTTGAAAATTGGTTTCGGTAAAATGGCATAATGTTTAGGATTATTCAGTTGATTCTCTGCTTCTGAAACGTAATCCTCCCTATTCAGAATGACACAACATGAACCTTTGTTACTCTTTTTAATAACAATGCTATCGTCTTTCTTAAGTAAGTTTAACGCTTCACGTTCCACTCGTGTGAGATTAGGCTTTTCGTGTATTATGGAAAGGTTCACTGTTTTTCTATTCATACTCGCAAATGATTTCAATATTTCAGGATGGATGGCGGCCTGAGGGGGTGTCCACGTGGATTTAGGAATAAACATTGTTCTAGCACCACGAGGGGGGTGGTTTCGAAAAAAATATGTGCAGCTAAGATTTCTTTGAAATCGTTCAATGGATGATCGGAGATAATTCAAGTTAGCTATCTTTGGTGTGGGACTAAATTTAAGCTGAACGGTCTAAGATTGAATGCTGAAGGGGTGTGAGAATTCTGCGGCTCAAGTTAACTACAGTTTGGCCTAGCGGTGGCTTCTCAGTATTTTTATCCCCAGTAATTAGTTTAAAGACTTACTCGATGCTTGAAGCTGGTGTATCCAAAACAAATAAATGCTGTTTGCTGTTTCTGGAGACCAATGAAGATTATCAACT